GAGAGACGCGTCCGTACCGAACAACTCGGGGCAAGGCTGCGCCCGAAGGTCGGTTATAGCCGTAAAGGCTAGGAAGGTGCAGGCCAAGAGCTCGTCGCGAACATAAGGGGGCAGGTCGTATTCGATGCCGTCCTCGGTCGCCAGGCGCGACAAGAAGTTGTAGACGTGCGTAAAGATGGCGAGTAACGGGCGGCGATAGAGGAAGACCTGGACCCAGCAGCCCACCAGAGAGGCTAGCAGGGAGCGGGTGGTGATCCCGAGGTAGATTTGGATCAGGGTCAGCCTGCACAGGGCCACTGTCCGCACAAGAGGAGCGCAGACGATGCCTATGCGCCCCTCCACCTCGGCGCCCACCACCACTTTGTGCGTTTCACCGCGCGCGCGCTTGCCTGGATGCTGTATCAGGCCCACGCGCGGGTAGCCCGCATCACACGCGGCAAAGACCTCACGATCACGGCGACACGGGTCGTCGGGGCGAGGAGCGGAGCCACGCCACGAGAGCTTCTGAAAACCTGTGTGGTCATCAATATTCAGCATCTCGACAAACGGGCCCCGCGGAAAGGGCGAGCGGTGGACAACCTGCTCGTGAGGCCTCAAAGCCCCGAAGCTGTGCAAGACGCCTTCATGCGCAGAGTTGGCAATCTCCACAGCCATGTTGTCGCCCATCGCCAGAGCATTGAGGCAGGGCGCGACATCCACACCCTCCAGCTCGGGGCGCCAGGCTCGAAATGCCTTGAAACGAGAGGATGGCAGGCGAACGCGCAGGGCGTTACGTCTGGCACGCGCGGGAGGGACGCGGAACGTGTAGTAAAATTCCCGAAGGTCGTCACAAGAAACTGCCAGCCATTCCCCAGGTGCCAGCCCCAAACGGCACAGGAGGAAACCTTGGCCAAGGCGCTGGGTGCTGGAAGAAATTGAAGCACAGCGGCTGTTCACAACCGTGGGGTTCAGGATCAGCCTGTCGAAATCGCTGTCCTTCGGTACCCTGAAAGCTCCACAGGCTTCATCCCAGGCGAGGTCCGAAGCAGGAGTCAGGTACAGGGCGCCGCAGGCATCCCACTTCTGGAGTAGGGCCCACAGCTCGGCGCGGTCCATATGGACGCGCGCTCCCTTCTGGCCAGCAGGCCACTCTGATGCCGGTAGCCGCATAACCTCAGGATCGAGGAAAGCTTCGCGGACTCGCGCGTCAGAGAGGAAGGGAACGGGATCAAACTCTGGCGAATAATCCCACTTGATGCGAGATGCCCTGACTTTCAAATCGAAGGGCTCGGCCTGGGTGGAGTCCCAAGCCGCCGCAGTCGCCAACGACCCAGGCACCGGAGGAGCGCCGGTCGGGCAGTGCCGCATGGGGGCAGGCACGGAAGAAGAGGAGGTGAAAGAGGCCTCCAGAGCTGCAACATGGGTGGCCAGGCCATGGAGCGAGACCTCGGTGGAGTCGAACTTGGCGAAAGCCCGACCTAGGTCGCTCTTGCCGCCACGGGCAAGGCGAACTGCGATCCGACACAACCGTTCGATACGGGTGCGGACGCCCTCCTGGCAGGGCGAGACCGTGGCACGGACGCGAGCCTCGGCGGGAGCGAGGCTGGGATGACCCAAGGTGAGCCAGTTCAACGCAATAACGGAATACTGCGCGAGCGTCCGCGCCGCGCGCCGCAGTCTCCAGCGCTCCCTGCGCCTCGCCGACAAGCCGTCAGGCGGGGGACCAAGAGGAGGAGCAGGCGGGCACGGCCAAGGATCGCGGGGAGGCGGCCCCAAAAGGTACGGACCGTCCCTGTCCATTGCACGCATAGATGAGCGGGAGAAAGAACCAAGAGAACATCGAGCACCCATCCCAACCTGGGACAGCGCTGCTGCCCAGTGGGTGATATCAATGTTCGCGCCTGGGAACAGGCGCAGCAAGGCAGACAAGTCAGCGACGAATGGCGCGACTTTGGCAAGAGCAGCAGGGGTGCTTGAAGGAGAGCAGGCACCAGCAGGGACACCAACCTCAGGGGCTGCAGGCCCCCTGGAGGGCGCGCTCGACTGAGGCAAGCGTCGGCCAAAATGGCCCGAGGGATCCGAGAAGCGGTTCGGAGCAGAGCGAAGGGCGTGGTGGCGGAACGTACTCCTCCCTGCGGGGCCGCAACAGCATCGCTGGAAGAGCGCATTCCTACCCTCACGCCCTCGCTGTGCCCAAACGCGCCTAGCAACCGCAACAGCGTCGGTGCAGTCTGTGTGCGGCGGCGTACCCCGGCCCCCCGCAGGCCCACCCTTCCAGGTGGCGGGCGCCGAAGGCGCCTTCAGTCTTTCTTGGGCACCGCCTTCGGCGCCTTGGAAGCACCCTGGGTCTTGAAGGGCTGCTTCGCAACCTTGGGCTGCTTGGGCTGGTGAGGAGGGTGCTTGGGGAGCGCGACGGCGCGCTCGGCGTCGAGACGCGCCCGAAATGCTTGCAGCTCCTTCACGTATTCGCCCTGCGCCGACAGCCAACGAGGGTCCACCAGAGGTGAAAACGGGGTCTGGGCCTCGCGCTCCGTGTGAAGACTCGTCACGCGACACGGGGGAGGCTCCAGTCCTGTGAGGAACCAGGCGGCTTCGAGATAGCCGCGGTCCCCCGCCAGTTGGTCGATGAACATGCACTGACACGTCAGTAGAGTCTGGACTCTCTCGGGATTGCCCTCTTCGCAGGCCCGCCACAGCTCGGCGCTGAGAAAGGCGAAATGCGTCAGCAACTCGTGCGTCGTCGGCTGAGCCCCCAACGGACTGTGCTCCCGAAAGTACTGATGCATGGCCATGGGGGTCACGGCGCTGACTTCCACGCCTAGGACGCGAGCCAGATTCTCCTTCATCAGCCCTCGCACGTCGGGGCCGTGCTGTATCAGCGCTTGCTGCCACTCGCGCCTCCGAGCAATGCCCCCCATCTGAGCCGATACGGGCGCGGGCTCGCCCGAGCTCGCGGGCGGAGATTGAGCTGAGTCGCTCAGGGTCCCCAGCAGCGGATGGACGGTTGGACGATGGCCCCGCCCCTGCTGCAGAAGGAGGGACTGGTGCAGGCACTGTAGCATGAGGCTGAAGTCCGTCGGATTGGCCGTATGGGGCGGCTCTAACCCGTCGGCGCCGCCCGCCTCGGCAAAGCCGTCGACCGCAGCGGGATGGGCTAACCCAGGTGGCGGCGGAGGGCCCATCGTTCCGAAGCCCGACGAAGGGGCCCGAGGGACAGCCAGAGAGCGCGCCTTTTCCCACGCCGAGACCAGCGCGGAGGTCGGACCCTTGGGACGCGCGGAGACCCGCTGCGGGGCCACGGGCGCGTGGGACAGGACGGCCTCGATCCCCGCAGGGTCCAGCCCGAGGCGCACCGCTTCGTCGCTGAAGAGCTGAGGCACCTCGGGCCGATCGCTCCGAGCAGGCGGCTCGGGGCCCAGCGATTCGGGTCGGCCGACCATCGTGGAGGCTGCGTGGGCTGCAAGCAAAGCGCGCATTTCGGCAGCTACTTCGGCACGGGTCATAGGAGCCCCGTCGTCCAGAGCCGCCGCAGGGGCACCAGGAGCGATCGAAGCGGGGCCCGCGACCCGTGGCGGCGCGGCTGCGCCCGTGCGCTTCGGGGGCGGGCCGCGAGGCGCTCCAGCGTCCGCGGGAGATCGCGCACTTGGGGCCGGGCGTTCGGCGTCCTCGTCGGCCGCGAACCCTTCGGGCTCTTCCATCTCGTCGGCAGAGTGATAGGGAGTAGCCCGATCGGCCCCTGGGAGCGGCTCCTCCCCTGCGGTAGGCGGGGCGCCGTGCAAGCGTGCGTAACCCTCGCGAAGCACCCGAACCCCTGAAGGGTGTGGCCAATAGACGCGGCCCCGCACCTCGGCGAAGGGGACGATGGCCGCGTCCTCGCCGACCTCTAGAGGGTAAAGCGACTCGAGCTCGAGCTCTGCAACCTCGATATCCACGACGAGGACGGAGGCAGTAGTGGCGAGCGGCCGCGAAGCGGCCCCCTGGAGCTGGGCGTCCACTAGCTGGAAGGGGCCTATCATCCCCGCAAAACCCCCCGCCTCGGCAGCCTCGAGCTCCGCCGTAGAGCGAAAGGCGCCAGGCAGGGCCAGAAGGATGCCCCCTTCTCGAGACGCGAGGGGGATAGCTGCCCAGCTGGTGTCGCCGTCGTCTAAACGCCAACGTGCGTAGCCGCGAGCCGTGGGAGCTGCGAATGGGTAGAGCTCGGGCCATAGAGGCCCTCCGCCAACTGGTGGCAGCTCGGCCATCAATGGGCGCAGCCGAGGGAGTTGCTCCCTGAATGCTGGGCGTCTGCCCGCACGAGCGCTCAGGGCCGCGGCGGAACCCCGTAAGCCAGCGCTCGCGCCGCACGGCGGTCCTGCTCAAAGGGGGCAGGAACCGCTCCGCGCGGCCAGGCGGAGGCCCTGAGCCTCCGCCACGCGTACGGGCCCAGCAGCCCGATGCAGCAGCCTGCGCAGGCGCTGCACGCGGCCGTCACCCCAAGGAGGGCGACGACCGTGCTGAGCAGCCAGGGCGAAACCCCGCCGCTCAGATCCACCGCCAGCCCGAGGCAGACGGTGGGGCAGGCGGAACCCGCCGAAGGGAGGGGGCAGAAAGCCCCCTCACCCTCGGACGAGTCCGCCTGCTGGATGGACCAGGCCGGCGCAGGAGGCCCTGGGTCCTGAAGATCAGAGAAAGGGGCAGACACGAGCCGCTCGTAGAGCGCGGCCCGCAGCCCCCTGAAGAAGATCTCCCCAGCGCCTCCGAGAGCCGCTTGTGCGAGCGCCTGCATAAGGCGTCCGCACGCGCGGCCGACGGGGGGGCACTTGGGCTGAGAAGCTGCGGAGACAGCAGGAGCTTGCTCACAGAGAATAGAAGAAGCATCATCACCATCCCTACACTCATCCCTCTGGTCATCCTCCTCATCCTCGTCCTCCTCCTCCTCTTCCTCCTCCTCTGTCTCTTCCCTTCTCCTCCTCGCCATCACCACCACGACTAACCCGCGCGTAGCCCCCAAAATGGCCACGGAGCCCGACAATTCGAAGGTC